CGTGAGCAGCAGCGAAAGGGCGGGATGGGGGAAGCAGAGGCCCAGGGCTAAATTCTGGGGAAGAATAGAGGCAGGAGGAGAACGGCACGGGGATCGTGGAGGGAGAAGTGCTAAATTGGGGCATGCAGAACATGCGGCTGCGTGGCTGTGGCCGTGAGCAGCAGCAAAGGGCTGATGGACGGGGGCGGAGGACAAGGTTACGGGCTGCGGAAATAGAGAGGCAGGAGAACCAGATGGGCATATCTGGGGGGCAAGAGGTAGCCCTACGTAGGGCCGTGCCGACCTTGCGGCTGCAGGGCTGTGGCTTCGATGAAAGACTTGAGCCCTGGGGTTTGATAGAGCTTCCGTGGCTGGCGCAAGATTAACTTAACTTCTAAGGCCGAGTTGGGGCAATGACGGAGTGGGTGAGATCTTACCCGTTGCCCAGATGGCAACTCTCTGCCCCCTCTCCAGCCTGTCTCTGCTCATTATTCTCACCTGACGGGCCCCAAGGCCCTCTCGAGGAGCGGGCACAGCGATGCCAGGCTCCTGACTGGTGGGACCATCTGCCAGGCGGGGCAGAGCGGGGAAGACTGTGCGGACTCAGAAGGGGTAGTGGAGGGGATCTAGGGGGAGGGCTTCCGCCCAAGGGAGGGGAGGGGAGAAAGAATGCTGGGCAAGAAGGAATTGGGACTGCCCTGAGGGATACTGACAGGAGGAAGGGGCTTAGTGGGGTGGACTGGGGCTCCAGGAGAACGGTGAGTATTCAGGGAAGGGGAAAGAGGGCGTAGTGAGGGGAACAAGGGCGAGCGGTGGGGCTCGGTGAGGGAGCAGAGATTCAGCGAGCGAGCCGGAGCTTGAGGAAGGGTAAGGGGAGAAAGGGTTCGCAGAGGGGCCCAGTGAACCTCCGATGAGGGCGTAGGGCATGGGGCGAGACCTGTGGGAAGGGTTTTCAGCGCGAGTGGGTGGGGTCTGTCGGGGAGGGGCTTGAGGGGGCGGGCACGGGGCGAGGCCCCGGAGGCGGCCGTACCTGGAGCTTTCGCAATTGCTGAAGTTGGCTGCGCAGGTCGCTGGTGCTGTTCTGCAGGCCACGCAGGTGCAGCTGCATCTGCAAACGGCTGAGGGCCGTGGGTTGCCCCGCAGGAGTGCTGCCGGCCGAGGGCGGGGGAGGGCCGGACACTGGGGTGGCGCCGCTGCTCCGGCTGCCTGACCCACAGGCTGCAGAGAGGGACCACGAGGATGGAAGAAAGGCAACAAACCTTGAGCCTGCAAGGGGCCAGGACAAGGCCCTTCCCACCCCTGATCCTCACAGTAGCCAGAGAAGCATGTGGCTCTGACCCCCTGCCCCAACTAGTGGGTCAGCCCTTCTGTGAGGAGCAAAGCACCAGGGCAAAGCCATCTTGGGCTAAGGTGACTGCTCATTGATCCACCAAAGCCCAGTGATGTAGCTGATGGTTTAACCCCCACTTTACAGATTAGGAATCTGAGGCTCAGAGAAAGCAAGTATGGGGCGGGGGGGGCAAGGGGCCACTCACGTGCTGAGGGGGTGCCTGCTCCATTGGAGCCTTCAATCTTCTCGCTGTGGCACAGGGGAAAAAGGGCCATCAGAGGGTCCAGCCTGACCCCAGACCGTCAAAGCTGAGTGAGACTTTAACAAAATCGCCTCCAGTCCCCTGATGTCAGGATAGAGTCCCAGAGAAGGAAAAGGGCTCACCCAGAGTCACACACTGCGACATTGGCAGAGCTGGTCCTAGCACTGCTGCTGCCCACTTTCCCTTCCTCTTGCCCCAACCATAAGCCCTGGCAGTGGTGTTTAAAGAAGAACCTTACCTGGGGGTCTCAGGCTCCGAGCCTCGTAGTAGGGCACTCTGTACCAGGCCTGTGAGGCTGGCAATCTGCTTCTCCATGGCCTCCATGCGCTCCCTGGAGAGGGTGGTGGCTCTGAGCAATCCCTTCTCTGGGCTTGGGGTCCCTCTTGCCCAGGCCCTCATTCTTAAGATTGATAATTAGAGGAAATACCATTCCCTCCCCAGCCACCAGCACACAGACAATGCCAAAGGTTCAAGCCCACAGTCCCCCACCTAACATTGGTAAGGCCCCTTTCCATCTGACAGTCACCCCCTCCCTTGCCAGCCCCATCTCTCACTACTGGCTCTCTAATGGGCCCCACTACCAGGCCTCTCTGTGCCCTTTCCTGACATGCCCTCCTCCCTACGTCATCCCTGAAGCCATCCCAGAGCCCCAGCAGCTTTAAGGAGTCCCTCCTCCCACACCACGTATATACCCTCCCAAGGGAAGTACAAGTATTTTTTTAATGTGTCACCCCCACTAAACAAGGCAGGAACCAGGCTTGCCCAGCTCGGCATCCACAGTGCCCCAGTGCAGTGCCTGGCCCACAAGCCACAAGACAGCTGTGTGAATGTGAATTGCTTCTCCTTATCTCTTGGCAACACTGCCTGAGGATAGAAGGGGATGGGTCAATGCTCTGGTACCTCCTCCAGCCCTGCACCCTTAGGATGGAGCTGAATAATGGGCAAGGGTTCCCCAGCTTGGAGGCTACCTAAAGGAATACCTCTCTGCCCATCCCTATTTCTGAGCAGCAGCCCCTCCCCAGTGGACTTCAGCCGACCGTGTGCTGGACAGCTCTCAGGGCTGCAAATTGAGCAGGAAAGGCACTAGAATGCTGGTTCAGCCTCAGTTTTTGTTGCGGAAACTGAGGTTCAGGGAACGGATGCAAACCCAGGTTTCCAGAGACCTTGTCTGAGGCCCTTTCATCTAGCCCCAAGATCTTGCAGAAGGAAGGAAAATGGCCTGTGCATCTCTCCAGTGCCTTTCCTGCCACAGCCAAATAACTCCCGTGAACCCTCAAGACTACTCCGGGTCTACAAAGGACTCTGGGGCCTCACAGTCCAGGACACAATCCTGCCACAGGCTCTGCCGTTGTCCCCTCATTCCACCCCACCCCTAAGAGCCCCGAGGCCTCGTGAGCGTCCCTCACCTGGTCTCCGTATCCTTGGCTGGCACCGGCGGCCCAAACCCAACGAGCGGGCGCTCCCCAGGCCCGGGGAAGAGCTCGGGAGGGGGAGCTCCGGCCGTCGAGGAGCCCCCCGTGCTGCGGGTCTTGCCTCCGGGGCTCTCTGCGAAGACCGACGAGGAGCCCGAGTCCTTGCGGAAAGACTGGCGCACCGGCGAGCCGCGGCTGGGCGGCCCCGAGTAGGGGCTGTGCGGAGGCTGGGGGCCTCCGGGGGGCGCCGCCACATCGGCCAGCTTCTGCGGCGACGAGGGCGGCAGGCGGAAGCCGTAGCCGTCGCCGTAGAGAGGGCCACCGCCCGCCGCCTTGTAGAGCGAGTCCTCCAGGTCGGACTGCAGCGCGGCGGCCGAATAGGTGCTGAGCGAGCGCACCGAGCCGCGCTTGTAGAGGCCGCTGGCCCCCGGGTAGGCGAACGGGTCGCCGGCTGCCGCGGCCAGGCTCAGGCGGCCCTCGTGGAGCAACCCGTAGGGGTCGGCGTACAGGCCCTCGCCCTTCACCAGCACCATGCCGCCCGCCTTGCCTGCCAGGTCCTCGTCCGGCTTCACGTCGCGCCGCTCCAGGATGGCGCTGGGGCTGGGGCTGACGCCCTGGGCGGCTGGGGCGCCCCCCAGCCGCTCGGCCGCGTGGTGCACCGGGCTGCCAGCGTAGGAGGGCGGGCGCCCCCCGGCGTAGGAGAGGCGCGAGCGCGACGGCGAGCCCGACTGCAGCCCCGACGGCAGCCCCGGGGGCGGAGAGCTGGACGCCAGGTGCGGCGCCGGCGACAGGTTGTTGAGACGCCGTGTGGGCGACGACTCCCGCGAGGCATACACCATCTCTCTCTGCGCAGAAGACAGTCCCAGAACCCCACAGGGCTAGTCACAAAGGGGATCCCTTGCGCCTTGCGTAAGGAGACAGCATCTTCCCCCTGATGCTTAGGAAGTCCCTTCTGTCCTCTGCCTTCCCTCGCTCCCGCTGTATTTGGGCCCCTTTCCCATCAGGGCTCCCAGCATGGAGGAAGAAGTGGCAGATGGAGAGGCACTAGAGGGGCAACCTGCGGCCCACCCTGTGGTGAGGGTTGGGGAAGCAAGAAGGGAAGCAGTAGTTTCTGATAGAGGCCCCCTACAATACCTAGAGGCCTGTTGGAAAAAATCCTGAATGGAGAGGAGGGGGGCATGGCAGATGAGGGGAAGGACCCTTCCATGACCACAATTGGTGGAAGCCACCCTCTGCTTCAGCCTCTATGTTCCCTTCTCCAAAAACTGGCCCTCATCCCTGTTGACAAGTAACTAGACTCTGTGCTCCTGGACCCCATCTGCCCAGCCTCCCCAGTGCCCTGGGGATCCCCAGCCATACCCGGAGGTCCCCGTTGGTAAGGTGTGAGCCAGGGAAAGCGGCGTAAAGTGGCTCCTTCCTATAGATCTTGATAATACTTCGGTCCTGGATGTCCCTGGGGGGAAGGGGAAGGTGCAACGGGTCACCATCCCTCAGCCCTGCGATAAGGAGGGGTAGCTACTACAGGAAGAGGGAAGAAGGGTGGCAAGAGGGGCCAAGAGCCCCAACCTCTTCCTAGCTTCTTGCTCAGTGCCTCAGACTGCCTGCCACCAACACACACTCCGCAGCCTCCACCCCGTCCAGCTAGTAGGCCCCGTTCGCCCTTCTCAGGTTAGCTCAAGCCAAAATGAGCCAGCAGGGGTGGAGGATTTAGAGGGGACGGGGTGGGATGACCGAGGAAGGAGAGAAGGGCTGAGGTTGCATCAGGAGGGGTCTGGGGAGGGAAAGAGCCGCGGAGTCGAGGCCCCGGCCGAGGAGGAGCCTGGGGAAGCCCACCCCTCCCTCCGGGGCCACGCCCACCGGACGTCCTCCAGCTCGTAGAAGACGTTGCGAGCCTCGTCCTTGATGAGGATGGCGGTGTTGGGCGACTTAAGCATGCCCATGGTGAGCTTCTGCGGGAACATGTGCGCAATGAGCGCGTGCAGCGTGTCCAGGCTGCTGACCTCGTGCGTGATGTGCACGCGCCGGGTCTCCTCCCCGAACTGCAGGAACAGCACCCCTGCGAAGGAGAGGCCACCTCCGCTGTCAGAACTATTGCCCCCACCGCCAGCACCACGCCGGCCGGGAGAGCGAGGGGGGCTTTCCGGGGCCGCGCTGGTCCTGCAGAGGCAGGGTCTGAGGCCCGACGCGGCCCCGGAGTGCAGGTGCACCCATGCACTCCTCATGCTGCCGGGCGGGTAGGAGCCTGGGCGAGGAAAGGGAATTGGGGGCAGGAGCAGGTACGGCAGACTCCGGCAGACACAGAGGGAGTCGTTGCTGAGGGGGAGAGAGGTGAGCAAGAGGGGGATGAAGGAAAGGGGGGCTGCTGAAAGGGGTGAGGGAGAGAGGAGGCTGCGAGAGAAAAGGATGGGGCAGGGGCTGCTAAGTGGGGGAGAAGCTGAGGAGGGAAAGGCCCCAAAGGGAGGAGACTGCTGAGGGGCAGGGAGGTGGGACCGTGGGGAAGGGAGCCAGGGGTTTGGTCAAGGAGAGCTGGAGTGGTGAAGCGGGTGAAACGGGCTGTGGGGTGAGCAAGGCAGAGGGAGGAGCCAGTGGCCAGGAGGAGGGTGGGCGGGGCCAGCAGTACCTGGCGAGCGCAGCTTGGTCTGGCTGGCAGAGCGGGAGAGGGGCAGGCTCTGTCGGAAGCGGTTCATCCTACTGAAGCCCAGGGGCAGCTCCGCCTCCGACATGGTCTCCAGCGACTCAGCCGAGGCGTATGACAGCTTGGCTGCCTGGTCTGCCAGCCCGGGCTGGGCTCCCTGAGTGTGGCGCGAGCTGCGGGTCTGCGGGGGCAGGGCAGGATGAGAGGAATCAAACACGAGCCCCTTGGCTCTGCCCATGTCCCCCATCCAGGCCCGGGGAGCCCCTGCCAGCCAGTGAAACACACACACACACACACACACAAGGGTCTCCTGCATTCCAGACTCGCTGTGTGGCTACAGGAGAGTTCCCCAACCCCCTAGGGCCTTGGCCTCCCTGGGACACCCAGCAGGTAAGCAGTGGGCAAAGGACTCAGGCACCCTGGGAAGCCAGACAAGAAACCATCTGAGCGGGAGCCAGGGCACGCCTGCTATTTTAAGCTTCCAAAGAACAACAACAACAACACAAATTTGTCACTGAGGTGAGCAGCAGAATCGTTGAGCAAATTGGGGCATTAGTTCCAGACATTAATTAAGCGGCGGGTTTGTGAGTGGTGAATTTACCCTTCCTGGAGTTCAGAGGTTTGGGTGGGGGCAGGAAGCAGGCCCAGGGAGGAAGCAAAGAGAACTAGGGGCCCCAGGTTCCCAGCTCTGGGAGGTATGGGTCCTCAGAGAGGAGCACAATGTCCTTGACTTAGGGTGCCTGGGAGAATCATCCCGAAGCTAGTTTCAAACAGACTCTGCCTACTACATGCAATGCACATGCTAAGCCTGGTAGGATCCACCTGAGCACACAACGTATGTGCCTGACCTCAGCCCCTCCCCACAGGGCACGTGCCGCCGCGCAGCCAACCAGCCTGGCTTGCCTCCTAGAAAGGCCTCCCCGGGACCCAGCATGGCAGCCCCTTGCCCTGAAGGTAGTATCTGGCTGGGGCTAGGGAAGGGTGTCACCCAGTGACTGTCCCCTGCCCCAGGGACAGCTTGATCACTCTCTCCTTGAGGGAGGGGTCGCCATGTAAGAGCCTACATGGCTCTTTTGGCTGAAGGCTGGGGCTATCACTCAGCACCTCAGTTCCTGCCATTCTGCCCCAGCCCCTTCCCTTAAACTCGGGTGCGTCAGAAACTTTTATTCAAGGGAGAAGATAATAAGTCAGATCTGTGTTATGTACATTCCATGTTATGTACAATAGATACTTATATGGATTATATATACATATATTATCAAGAAAAAAATCATGTTGCCTAATTGTACTTTTCTATAAAATAAGTTGCCTATTTTTAACAACAAATGACTCAAAACTATTAACATTGGTTAAGTCGGGGTTGAGACAGAGCTTTCTCTTTTATACATTTCACTTCTGGGGGAGTTTTGCACAATCAGAATATATTATTTTTATAATTAGAAAAAAAGTAAAAGTATCTCTGTAAAGGAATCAGCGCCCTCCTTCCCCAAATCCTGATTGGCTCCTAATTACTCTCCATCTTCATATTAACTCAATTCAACGTTCCAATTGGATGAGCACTCTGGAAAAGAGAGAGCATCTTCCTCTGATGGGCAATGTGCCCAGCTGTCCCCAACGTGGTCTCCAAGGCTTGGGGATGCAGAAGGTCAGATTTAGAGACCTCAGGGGGTGTCCAGTCTCCGGCACAATGCCTTGACCAGTGAGTGGGTATGGGTCTGGGGAGGAGGGAGGCAGCATAGGAACGAGACCCACATGGGGGGTGCCTGTGCCCAGACTTTGGACCCTGTAGACTTTGCTGTAGACTGATCACCAGGGCCAGCCTCTTTCACCCTCGGCCCTGGAGCAGTGTGTCGAACCAGGTCTGGTCTGGTGGTCAGTGAGGTTGCCAGGCAACTGGAAGGCCAGTGGTTGCCAGGCTGATGTGGATGAGGGGCTACAGAATTCTGGCACACTAGCCAGGAACGAAGGGGGTGGCCACAGAGCCGGGGGACACAAGTGAGGTGCCAGGAAGAAGACGGAACAGGGGCCAGAATGAAGTGGGGGCAGGGATCCTCAGGGCTGCTGACTGCAGAGAAGGCAAGACCCTGTCCAGGCCACCTCGGGGAGAAGAGATGCCCACATTCCCTGCCCCAATAGTTCTGCTCTCCATCCTGGCCCTCTGCGCACCTCTCCATTCTCACAGCCTTTGTAGAAAACCCCCTTGAGAAGAGAGAAAGCCCATTAGCACTTCTCTTCAGTCCTGGGCTGAGTCAACAAGGCAGAAAAAAGTGAGACATCCAGGACTTCCTGTCTACGAGGGAGATGGCAAGAGCATAAAACGGTAATCCAAGCAGAGCTCTCCAAAGCTAGGAGGGGGTTGCTGGGGGAGGCAGGGCGCACCTGGCCCCGGAGGTATTCCAGCAAGGAGCCGATGACTCCTGGCCAGAGATCAGGCAGAGGGAACCTTGAGTGGGGACAGTCAGGCGAGGATCTGAGGTTCCCAAAGGCAGTCCACAGAATGGGACAGAATCACTCGGGAGCTTTTAAAAACATTCTTTCCAGAACCCCACATTCACTGAATCCAAATCTCTGGGGGGTTGGGGCCTGGGGTTCAAGATTTCTGACAAGTTCCCAAGGTGATTCTGATTTGGGAATCAAGTCAGCGGCTTCTAACAGCTACTGAGGTAAGCTACCAGGTAAGGCTCGCCATGAGCCACGCACTGTGTTTAGGATGTGCAGTATCTCCTCTCTTCTATCTTTATAACAACTCTGTGATGCAGATATTGTTGTTCCATTTTACAGAGGAGAAACTGAGGCCCAGGGGATTATGCAATTTGCCCCAGGTCCCCCAGCTAGTTAGTAGCAGACTTGGAATTCACCACCAGGCTCTCAGCCCCATGCATCGAACCGTTACATTCTATTGCTTCCTCCAAAAATGTTGTGTGCCTGACGTCATGAGTTTATGATTCTGTGATTTCTCTGATGCAAGGACTTCTCTCTGGGAGCATGCTCGCAAATAAGATGCTTGGAGCAGGACGACACCTGGGGAGTTGGGGATGGATGCCTCCCACCCCCTGTCACGATGCCTGGGAGTTGGAGGGCCGGAGACTCTGGGACACAAGCGGCAGCCTAATTTGGCTCCGTTCTGGGCCTGGGTGCCAGAGACAGTGGAGGAGGCACCTGAGGGTGCTCCGCCAGGACTCAGCAGGATGCCCTTGGAGGGGGCAGAGAGCTCTCCCGCTGTGGATAGTCCAAACTGTCCAGGGGAGGCAGGAGGGCGCTCATCCCTGAGCTCAGCCCTCCACGTGGGCAACGGGTCTGGAGTGCAGGGCTGTGAGGCTCTTGCCTGGCACTGACCCCATAGTGCCAAGTAAGAAAGGGACGAGGGGCCCATCAGAGACACAAGACCTCGCTGGCAGATGAAGGCTGAGTCCAGAGAAGAGGGCCCTCCAGCAGATCATGGGGTTCAGGTCCCCGCCTCAGAGCCAGCAGTGTCTCAGGTGGGGGGAAATGTCAGGCAGCCTCCCTCATTCCAAAATGCCCCTCCCAGCGTGGGAAAGCCTAAGTACCCCCAGCCCAGATCCCCCGCGGGGGTGGGCCAAACTCCCACTCTGGATCCACAAGCCCCTGGCAGGCGAGCCCAGACTCTCTCAAAGCAGCAGCCCCAGGCCCGCCGCCCCCACCAGAAGGTTCCGTGCAGACGCACACCCCTGCGCAAAGCATGTGCAGGGAGGGCCAGGGGCGGGAGAGCACATGCAGTTGTCACGGAAGCAGAAGAACACGCACTGACCTTGAAGCTCCAGTAGTTTGGCTGCTGATGGGAACAAGAGAAGACATGGTTACGCGGGGGGCTGGGAGGGGAGAGCAGGGGCGGAGGTGGGTTAGAGACCCTCTGAGTTCAGCCCTGGGACCAGGGCCCTCTGCCCTCCCAGGAACAAGAAAGAAACAGTGCCTGGTACATCCCGTCCTCTCCTGAGACCCAAGCCAGCCCTGGGCAGGCTCCAGGCTCACTGGCGGGGACAAGGGAGAGCCCTTCCAGATGTTCACAAGCCACGCATTCTAGTCACGGTAACTCAGAGAATCACGGGTAGGAAAGGTGCCGAAGACCATGATATAGGGAACCCATGAGACACAGGCAGAGATGAATCAGAGCTGCGGGGTCAGAGAAGTGGCATCTGGTTGCGATGGGCCAGGGGAAACTTCCCGGAAGAGGTGACATTTGAGCTGGGCCTTGAAAAATGGGCAGCTGGAGATTGGGACGTAAGGTGTGCTGAGCAGGGGGGACGGTATGGGCAAGTGCCCAGGGGCAGGCAGGCAGAGTGTGTTGAGGGAGTACTCGCTAGTCCAGTCTGGCTGGGGAGCAGGGTCTGGGAAAGCAGCAGATTGGGCTGCAAAGAGGGGCTGGGGCCAGCTGAGTGGGCTTCGGTGGACAGGCAGAAAGCATCTGAGTGGAGCACAGTGGGGTCAGAACTGGAGTCCAGGGGGGTTGATACGACAGGGAGTGGAAGAGGGAGGCTGGCGGCCAAGGCCAGGGCGGGGAGGCCCGTGTACCACAATGGACTGGAATTACAGAGTCCAGTGGACAGGTACCAGTCGCTTCACAGTACTGGGCAATGAATGGGGAGCCAAGGGAAGCAAGAGGAGCTGTAGAGACTGGGAATGTGGGCAATGTCCTAGAGCCAGATAGAGAGAGAGGAAGACTCCTTGTACCCCCAGAGTAGGGGACTTCAGGTTCCTCCTCATTCACAATAACCTAGGGTCACCCTGTCTTCCCGAGAGACCAGAAGGCCCTTGCAGATGGCTAAGGACAAGGAAGGAGGCCCAGAGGCTGGGCTGGTTCTTGGCCAAGCTGAGGGCACCCTGCTGACCGGTGCCTGCCTCAGCAGGAAGACAGAGGCAGCAGATGGCCTGGCACTGGGGTGCCTGGCACAAGCAGACAAAATTCCCAGGCCTCAGAGCCACTGGCAGAGAAGAGGGACGCTGAGGGTCCCTGATAGGGGAAGGACATCACAGAGGGGTATCCTGTGCCACCTGAATGCTTTCATGGCAGAGAGGAGTTGGACAGGGGCTGAGTCGAGGGGCCCTGCTGGGATGGAGGCTTTACTTGAGTTAGACCTTTAGGGTGGAGGTGATGCCAGGTTTGGGCTGGGATGAAGAGGTTGGCTCACCAGGGCCTTCCCCATCTGAGCTACAATTCTCACCTCCTCCCCCACTCCCCGCCCCCCCCCCCCCACCGCCATTGGCTCCAAAAGACACAAAAGATAGTCACATGCCAAGCAAGGGAAGGGGACAACAACATCTGTACCCCAGCCAATGCCTAGAACAATCTATGGACACATGCCACCCCCATGGGTGCCAGGGGATGCCCACAGGGGCCGAGGGGAGGGGAGGCAAGAGGCTGGAGTAGCGGGCCCTAGTCACAGCTGTCTGTGGCCTTGGGACGGGGAGGGGGAGCAGAAGGAGTGGACACGCGGGTGGGGGTGGGGGCCAACAGAGCCAGGCACAGGGCACGGGAAGGTTTCTGATGAGACTCGTGTCTGCAGCCCTGGCAGTGATGGCTGGCTCTGCAGAGAAGGCCGCTCCAGCGCCCCGGAGCACGCAGGCCCCTCACCGAGCCGAGCGCAGACTCTCAGACACCCTCAGATAAGGACATCGCCAGAGGTACCACCCAGAGCGACAAAAACACACGCACAAAGGGACCCAAGCACTTGGAGAGAAGCCCTCCATGGTCAGAAACAACCCCAGAAACTCAGAGACAGAGAGTTTCATACAGAGACCAGCCCCGCTCATGCACGAACACGCATCCCCCACCGGACCCTGACTTGCTCACATACACTCCTACTCTGCTCACAGAAACGCAGGTACCATTCCCACACGCCCTAGCCTCCCCCAGAGTCACAGAAACCCATAGAGACATAGATCCCATTCACACATAGTACACACACACACACACACACACACACACACACACCAGCTGCAGAAACACAAAACAGTACCCGCACAGTATACACACAAAGAGAAAGTCTCATCCCTCCTTCCCTCCACTAGCCAGGTCATAGTGCCTCTGGACATCTCAGCGGCAGCAACCGTCCCATGCCGATGATACCCCGGACATCAGGCGTTGGATAGGTTAACTCCTGATTCAAGAGGCAGAAGATCCCCCACCCCACCCAGCCCCCAGTGTCAATACATCGGACTCAGGATGTGCAGATGGCTGAAGCCACCGGGCCTCGGGGGCCTGGCCACAGCCACGCTAGCTGTGCCCTGAGCCTGGGCCTGCCTCCGACTTCCGAGGCTGGGCACATCCATGGGACGGTCAGCCCCGGAAGGAAGGGGTCACTAGCTGGGGACAGGGGAGAGGACTGGGTAGCCTCAGTGCCACCAGAAAGCCAGGCAAACCCCCCTAGAGGGTAACAGTGGAAGAGTAGCTGCGTTTGTGCTTGACAAACGGGGTGAGGCTGAGATCAGACTTCTGAGACTTTGGGCTCTGGCCCGTAGAGCGCACTGAGTAGATCCTAGCCCCTCTGGCCTCTCTGGAAAGGGGGAGGAAAGATCTCCTTTTATGTTAGTCCCACCAGGAATAAGACACATAGTCTCCTGGCAACTCAGTGTCCTTGGGAGGGGGGGGAGGGGGGGAGATGACAGTGTCGGGAGAAGTCATTAGGAATGCCGTCCATCCTCTGTCTCTGTCTCTTTCCAGGGTGTTAAACCCAAGGGACAGCCTTGGGTCACTGAGAGCAGAGGGTTCCTCCCCGTTTGCTAAGATGAGGTTCTCCCCATCCAACCTCCTCACCCTTTTCCTGGTTGTCTGTTCCTCCCGTGTACCTAACAAAATGCCTGGGTATGTAGTAGGCCCTCAACAAATATTTGACCATGAATGAATGCAAAGAAAAATAGGCCCAGCCCATAGGAGGAGGGGTATGTCTCTGAATACTCTTCTCTGGCACGGCTCCCGCCATCCCCTGGAACCCAGCACCGCTCAGCCTTCTGGGCCTTTTCCCTGGGAGTTTCCCAGCACCAGAAACCCCCTGGAAGGAGGGCAAAGGGCAGGAAGGGCCCAAGAGAGGTCTGGCCGCTCACCCCCAGCAAACACCTCCGATACCCTCCCCCATACTCAGGGAGGGGTCTCCCCTTCCCAGAGGACCATGGGAACGTGGAAGAAAAGTTTGAATGGGAGAGCCCTTGCCAAGGGTAATCACTTGTAGGAAAGAGTCTTACAGGAGCAGGGGGACAAAATGAGAGGTGTTCTAAAGGATTCGAATTGGAAGCCAACCATTCACTCTCTAGGGACCAGGCTTTCAGAAATGAGGGAGTGGGAGCTTCCCAGAGACCCAAGAAAGCAAGGCCAGGGAGTCCTCAAACTCCCTGGTGAGAAGAGGAAATAGCATCTTCCCTCTGGGGCTGAGGAGTTAACCCCCGCCCTTCCCCACCCTAAGCGCCCTTAATGGGGTTCTTCCCTCCCCTTGCAGCTGATCCTTTTCTCCCCGACGAGCCCTGGGAGGGGCGGGGCTGTGCCCCCCCCCTCCGGGAATCCGAGCGCAGGCCAGCCGAGGTCTCTCCCCTCCTCGGGCAAACGTCCCCAGCTGGCTAGGTGAGTGGCGTGACCCCTCCTTGACCTCGAGCCCCGACGACGCATCCTCGAGGGAGGGAGGACCACCAAATCGGTCGCACCTCCGGCTCCTGAATCCCCCCCCCCCCCCGGCTCCGCGTGCCCCGGCGCACACACCCACCTCTCAACTCCTGTGAACACGCGTCCACGTAAACAGCCGCCCCCCCAGGCTGGGGCTACCTAACGTGCCCCCGCGTGGCCAGCCTCTCACCACGACGCACGTGCACGACCCTCCCCTCAGGGGTGCCCAGCGACACCCTCACCTCCTACCCCTCCCCAATGCAGAGCGCGTGGGGGGGGGGGCGCTGCGGGACCTGCGCGGCGCCGGGGGGCAAGGGCGCACCCCAAGAAGGTCACGACTTTCCGAGGTTGGGGGAGGGGGCGCCCGCCGCATTTTGGGGGGGCGGCCCACGCGGAAGGCGGCGAACGCGGTGGGGGGAGGGGAGGGGGCGTTTCTCGGGGACCGGGAACCGCAACGGCCTGCGCGCCTCCCACCCCCGGACCGCCCCTCCGAGCCGCGGAGCTGGCCCCCATCTCCGTGCCCCGCCGCCCGCGGAACCCCAGGCGGCGGCCCCGGCTCCCGCCGCCGCTCGTCCTTACCTGCGGCCACAGGTGTACGCGCGGGGGGCCCCCAGCCCCAGGTCCCGCGTCGGGCGGGAGAGGGAGGGCGGCCCCCTACTCCCACCCGCCCCGGCTCTCCCCTCCCCCGGCCGCCTCCGCAGCCGTCGCCGGTGCCCTTTGCTGCAGTGCGAGAGCCGCCGCCGCCGAGCCGGCCCGGGCCCCGGTCGCCCCGGTAACCGCGACTCC